ATTCTATAGCTTTAGAAGGTTATTATAACGCGTAATATATAGTTTAACGAGTAGCTATTTTATAAACTATAGCTCGAAGAAGCAGAATAGATCCCGGAGCCCGAGGCGAGGAACTAGCTTATAATTTACGAAATATAAAAAGATAAAGATAACGACTTTATCCTATAGGCCTACCCTCTAGGTGGATTAATTAATAGCGCACCTTCTAGACAATAATTATAATCCACGGGTTCGAACTTAGGGGTAAAAGTAGTAAAGGCATAAATAAACGCTTTTTCGCCACTACTAGATATAAACGTACCCAGTATACCCGAACCGCCCGTAACAGGACTTTAAGCCCCACGCGTAACACCTAATCCTTAGAGCAGGAATCTTTAGGTTATAAGTGTAGAGCCGTAGTCTTCGAAGGAACTCTTAATTAATAATTCTTCTGACTCATAAGATAATAGAGCGGCCACCTAAGAAAACACTATAACCGACACGCTAGGATTATATATACTAGAGCTTAATACAGACACTTCGACGATTTTAACTATAGAAAGAAGTACGTAGGCGATAGTATAGGGACTAACTACCCCTAATCCGTACTATAGCACTAGCTATACTATAGCGTCCGGATCCAGACCACCTATCCGACTAACCCCTAAGGTAACCGCCTACTAAAGGAAAAAGAGTATACTAATAAAGGAAGTAACGCGCGCTAGCGTAAAAATCACCGATCGCCGTGCTTAAGGAAAGACTATTCGGATTAATCCACGGATATATTGGGTAGAGCTAGATATACCTTTAACTTATACCTTTTTCTTATCTAATTAATAAAAAGAGCGCTAGGACGGGCTAGAAGGGCTTCCAACCTGTAATTTAATAATCCTCGGAGTAGCCGATACTAAAATAAATACCCGTTTAAATACTAAAAGAGAGGCTATAACGTCACTAAAGCCCTTAATCGACGGTAGGGTTTATCACGACTACCTAAAGGCTATACTAAGGTACTAATAGGAGCTTATTAACTACCCGATACGTGAACGGTTTAAGAAAACCACGTAGAAGGAGGTAAATAAGCTAATTAAGAAGCGTATATAAAGAGAAATTAAGTGCTTAGAGGCGAAGTTAAAGCCTTTTCCGTTAAAGTGGGTTTTGATCTATAAGTTTAACTAAGACGGATATCTTAAACGATATAAGGCACGCTTATATATTCGAGGGGACTTATAGGAGAGCTTAATAATTAAAAGAACCTATATAGTAACGCTTGCTACACGATCTTTTCGTATTATTATAGCCCTAGCTACTTAGTTTAATCTAGAGATTAAGTAACTTAATATCGTTATCGCCTTCGTTAACGCCTAAAGGAGTAAAACAGGAACGCCCGTTATATACGAACTTCCCGATAGATTTAAGCCGCCCGATAAGTGCTTAGAGCTCGATAAAGCACTATGTAGACTACGCGGCTCGCCTAGACTATAGTTCTAGACCTTCATAGCCACCCTAATAGACTTAGAGATAAAGGCCAGTAAAGAAGAACCGTGCCTATTCTATACTAAGGCTTAAAACGTATTCGTTATCTTCTTTATAGACGATATTCTTATATTATTTTATAGAGATAGTACTATAAACGGCCTTAGGATTATTAAAAGGATTAAAATAAGGTTTAAGATGTCGGAAAAAGGGGAAGCCGATTAATTTTCTAGGTATTAAGATTACTCGAGATCGCTATAAACGTAAGGTTTTCCTCTCCCACGACTTATATATCGAAAAGATTATAGCCAGGTTTAAATTAGACGCTCTAAACACCTACCCAGTAATCCTTATTCCCGTTATAGAATACCGGAAAAGAGAAGACGAAGCTACCACTTAAGAGATTAAATCTAAATCTTATTAAGAAAAGGTTGGATTAGTGCTTTATATAGTAGTTATAATACGTCCTGACGTGGTATTCGCCGCCTCTATCCTCTCCCGCTTTCTTAGAAACCCCTCTCCCGAGTACTATAAAGCGGTAGACTAAGCTATCCGCTATTTATTTATAATAAGGGACCTCTCGATTTAGTACGGATTAAGTACTAGTTTATAGGCGATAGTTATCGTAAGTGACGCCTTTTTTATAGACGATTTAGATATACGAAGATCTTTATAGGGTTACTTTATTAGCCTATTTAGTGGATTAGTTATATAGAAAGTAATAAGGTAAGTAACGGTAATAACGTCTATAACCGAAGCAGAGCTACTCGTTTTATATCAAGTGGCGAAGGAAATAATAGGTTTAAAGCGTCTTTTCGTCGAAATACGCTTTAATCCAGAATCTCCTTAGAATATCCACTACGATATCACGTAAACGATACGCCTAATAGTCGACGATAGCTTTAGAATTAAGACTAGGCTTCGCTATATAGATATATAACGCTTTTAGATACGGTAGGAGAACGTAAAGGGATTATTCAGAGTCGTATATCTTACTACGAATTTAATACTAGCGGACGGATTAAACAAAGCACTTCTACGATAAAAATTTAAGAACTTCCGAGTATATCTTAATATAATTAGTGCATAGAGGGGGTGGAAAGAAGCAGTTAAAGTCGAAAATCCAGCGCCCTAGGCGCACCGTATACCGGCGGTTTAGTTAATTGAGTAAAAAGAAGGGTATATCGTTATCTTAATACTATAACACTATACTAAACCCTAAAAGTAAATCCGAAAAATCCTAAAATATCAAAAGGAGTATACTAGCTAAATTACTAAGCTCTATTAGTGCTATCCTAAGCACTATCCTATATAACATTTACGCTATTTCCTTTAGCCGGAGGAGTACTAATAAAACCGTTTTCCCGTAAAATATCTATTATAACCCCCGTAAGCTAGGAGGTAGAGGTAGTGGTCGGTGTACTAGGACCTTAGTTAGAAGCTCCCTTAAGCTCCGCCTCCTTAAAGAACTTCTCGTTTTCTTCGTCCTCTATTAGCTTAATTATAAACTTCACCGTCTACTTAAGTTTAGCGAAGAACTACGCGAAATCAGTGAGTTAGAGTATTTAAATATAGAAATAAAGCGATAAACGCACCTTCTTATTATCGTCTTTCGAGTCTTTATTGATTTTACGGACTATAATATAATTAAAAAGAATTTTCACTGAGGATATAAGGCTAGTAAAACTATAAGTATAGGTTAGCGGTCGTAAAGCTTAATAGCGTATATATCTTCGAGCTAATACGAAATAGAGCATACGATTATAATCGTAAAGCGCCTTAGATAGGGGGTAAGAACTTATAGAGAGTAGTATATATAGTTTCTATCCTTATACTTTTAGTAGCGGTTAGAGCGGCCAGGAACCGAAATATAGTAATCAAATAAGCGCTATTTACTAGAATAAATACCCTTTACGTATTCTAGATAGGGGAGGTTAAAGGGGACCGGAATAAAGGCTTCTTCGGTATCCTTATCACTATTATTATTTCTATTCTTAGCAGTCTATTAAAGGGTTAGCCGGAACCAGAGTAGACGGATTAAAGATAAACGCGCTAAAACGACTTATAGAAGCACCCTTTTTACCGCCGCCCTTACCCTTATTCTTCTTAACGCCGTTAGTCAAGGCCTTCTTAGCCGTAACGGCCCGGGTAACCGCGGAGATAGTAGGAGGAGCCTAAATAACGCTACCGGTTAGCACGCGCCATTAAAAACAAAGTTCCGATACTTACTATATCGCTATTATTATTATTTTTATTACTATTAATAAGATAAATTTAGAAAATTTAGATTAAAATCGTCAAAAAATCCTTAAAAACAACGGAATAAGGGTTATAAGAGAGAAGATCCAAAAGCTCCAAAACGCCGGTATAACGCCTTTAATTTATCTACGGAAGGCCCTACTATCATCTATTTACTACTACTATTAATAGCACTTTTCCTTTATTATTTACTACTATTATTATTATTCTTTACTATTTTACAGCTTTTATTCCTGCCTTTTAACTCGATATTAAGGGTATCATACGACCCTTTAAGGCTATTTTAAGGTTAAAAATAAGGCTAGGTTAAGGTTAGGCTAAGTAATCGTTCCGCTAATCACGGCGTAATAATTAAGGGGTATATTATATTCTATTATATAAGCCATAGTATAATACTCTCCTATTAGTTAGAGGTGCCCCACTATCCTCGCTTAGAAGGTGGCAGATATATTTAGGACACGTACACCCGCCCCCTTTTTCTTTCTCTTTTATAGACAATACAATCATACATTTCATGAATCAACGCTCCCTGCAAGCACGCTCCCGTTAATTCAACAGAAGATCCACTTTGAGCAGATCATGTACACGTAATAAGATGATGAAAAATAACAATAGTGTAAAAAAAAGAAAGGACAATGGCCGTCCGTCTTCCCCGAACTGGGTTTGCCGCTCCTTCACGAGAGAGGTGCACTCGTACTCGTCCGTATGGCAAGTCGATCTGAAGTCGACACTGACAGGAAGGGTCGACAAACTTCAAGCTTGGGGTCGCAGCAGCTGCAACCGCCGCCAAGACTCGAGACTCTGCAGGGGCAAAGAAGCTCGGGTGGGGCGGTCGTTCTTTCCGCATTTTCAATTAATGCCGTGGCTGTGGCTTATGTGATGCTGCATAGGGCATACCTTACCTAGGACCATCAACATCCGGGAATGGTTAGGAGGGGAAAGCGCTTCTCTCGAAATTTCAGTTGTTCCTTCCAGCTTCAGCAGCTGGTTCAAGAAGGTTGTTGGGTTGTTCCTGACCAATATTGACCCTCAAACCCAAGGCTGTTCACCCGAGTTACTATCTAGGTACCTACCCTTCCTTACTTGGACAGGTAACCTACTTCGTATATAAAAGGTACGCTGTACTTTGGCCGGGTGAATCGTGAATCCCCGAATTCAATTCCGTCGTCAACTTTCGTCTCACCATTAGCCTGGTGGGTCCTTTGACTCGTTCTTTCTCGCCCATCACTCGTGCCTTGAGATAGGTATCTTACTTTGCAAGGGCGCTTGCATTCATCATCCAAAACGGTCTATCTAGAATACCTTGCCTTAGGTTAGATCTTCCGAGGATTTATGATCATCGAACATGGAACCTGACTGAGCCTTGTCGGTTGAGCTTTGAAGCACAGGGCGGCAATTCGACTTGCTTTTCTGATCCATGCCACCCTAACAGCCACACAGAGCGTCCAGAGTCCCGGCTCGTCACCCCCATCCACATCCATCCCAATCCCCTCATCGTTAAGCGCCCGCTGCATCGGATCCAATCATGGAGCTCCTGTACGATACCACATGCAGCCAGTCGCTGCCCAGCGCGTCGAACAAGCTTACGATGCATCTCACTCGTCGATATTGGGCAATGAGCGGAGACTGAGAACCCCCCAATCCCATGGTTGCCTTCTCTCTCATCGTCTTCTCTCTCCCGCCCCATGCTCTGGTCTGTCTCTCGCCCCCCCTTTCTCTCGGCCAGATTGGGTGGTCTCGGCTCCTGCACTCTCCTGTACTTCGTAGGACCATGACCAAGTTCATATGTATTTCTCCTAGTCGCGACCTTTTTTGACTGTTCTTCCTCTTCTCCGTACGTCCCCGACTCTCGATCAGCGCTTCATTTTGGTTGAAATCCCACTTTCAACTTGCTTCACAGCATCACAGGACCTCATCCAGTCCAGCTTTCGGCTTTCTTCACCAGGGACCGGCTTGACATTTCTTTCCTATTGCCTGTCCGTTGTAAGGGGGGCGCTAGACAAAGAGAAGCCAAAACCATCCTTCTCCCCCGCCCCCCGCCTTGTTCACCTCCCTGAGCTTCGACAACCCCGCGGCCGGCCACAAAGGCGACCACCTCCCCTCGGCTCCTATTAATAACTTTTTTTTATTTTCTATTTTCAATTTTTTTTTTTTACCCCTATCGTCTGTCATTTGCTCATCTCGCCCTGGATTCTCATCAGTGACTGGCAGCTTCCCTTCAGTTCTCTCTGCTTTGCACTGCGCCTCGCCTTGTTTGCATGCATTTGCGCATAGCTGCGCCAACTGCAACTGCAACTGCAACTGCTCTGCCGACACCATGGAACGCAGCCGCGGCGTCTCTGAGGAGGAGCTCTTCCTCAACAAACCCGCCAACATCGAGGACTGCGATAGCCCTACTGTTGAGCCCCTGAGGATATTCAAACCTCAGAGCCCTACGCCCCAGGCCGATCGCTTCAAGTATCCTCCGCCGCCTTCCTCCTCCTCTTCGTCCTCGACGCCCGTCTCGAAACTCTCGTTCCCTTTACCCCCCGGCGCCTCCAGCTCCGCCGCGCCTCTGCCATACCCGGACGATGTAGACCTTCAGCCCAGAAAGCAGACGTCGCGGCCCGCCATTCCCCCGGCCAAACAGTATGGCTCTGGCTACGTCAATACTCTCAATACCTCCGTCTCTCCCCGCCTGAACGCCGCAAGTCCTATCGACTCCAAGAGCCCTACCCTCGCTGAACGCCGCGGCAACATTCCCAAGCCACTTTCCGACCCGGCCAGCCCTCAATCCGACGGCGCCGACGGCTTGTTCGCCAAACCCATCAGGGGTCCCGGGCCCGGTCCCGGTCCCGAGCAGAATGTGCAGGCCGCTGCTGCTCCCACACCCCCTACCGCCGCCGCCGCCGCCGTCAAAAAGACATATTACCCACCTCCCGGTTCGGGCTCGACCTACCTCCAAATGCCAAACGAGAACAGCGTCAACCGCTTCTCCTCGACCGCCTCGACTTCCACAACAAGGGCCAACAGAGGATCTCCCCCTCCTCCCGAGACCCCCATCGTAGAACCCGGCGTCGTTCCCGGTGGGGGCATCGAGGCTCGCTATGCCGCCTCGGGCATATCCGGCACCGCCACCCTCACGAGCTTGCAGGCCCAGCATGCTCGGAACGCTGCAGCTACCCAGCGTCTCGCGCAATACGCCGGCGCCACCCCGCAACCAGCGCGTCCTTGGACCCCGACCGAGTCCCCCGATAACCAGCCCCATGGACCACCCACTGTCTATCAGGGTGCCAATCCTATCACAAGTCCGACCCAACCTACTTTCAGTCCGCCACCACAACAGTCTCAACAGCCACAACATCCACCACTACAGCCTCTACAACCACAGCCGCAGCCTCAACAACCCGCACCCGCACCCGCCCAGTCCAACAACAACGGCCATCCTGCTCTCCAGGTGAGCGTCCTGGAGCAGGATTTCCAGCGCATGGGCACGAAGACACCCCCGCCTGCTTACTCGAGCGTGAATCCAGGCCGTAGCAGCGGTGCGCACCCCGCTGAAAAGTCGCGTCCAACCGCGGCGGCTACCACAGCCCCCACTATCCCGGTGGCTTCTGCACCGGCTGCAACTCAGTCTCCGCCGAAACAATCCGTTAGCGCAGGGCCCGCGGTAGCGGGGCTCGGGCTCGGGCTCGGGCTCGGGCTGGCCTCTCCCGCGATACAGCATCAGGGCCACCCGGCTTTTGCCAACGACCCGAGACCAGAGCAGCAACCAAACGGCCAGCAGGTTGTTCAGGCGGTGCCGCAACAACAGCCGCAGCCCCAGCATGCTACCGCGGGGCCTTCTTTTCAACAAGGAGCTGCCGGCCCGAGTTCGCCGCCCCCCTTGCCCGAGGGGTGGATCGCTCACTTGGACCAGAACTCGGGTCAGTACTATTACATCCACTTGGCCACCCAGGCGACACAATGGGAGTTTCCCAAGGGGCCCAATCCGATCCATCACGAAACGGCACCTCTGTCTCCCACTGCCTCGACCTACGGCAACCCTCTCGGGTCGCCAGTCTTCGGCAAACAGCCCATGGCGTCTCCCATGTTCTCGCCTCAAACTCCCGGCTATGCCGAGAGCATCATGAGCGTGGCCGCTTCTCACACCACCGCCGCCACCGGCTTCACCGGGCCCCCTCCCAGCGCCGGCGTCGAAATGTTCAAGATCCAGCCTACCAACAACGTCTACTTCGGACCTTACCTGCGGTACGGCAACATGGACCTGGAAAGGGGCATGTGGCTGGGAAGCATCCTGATCGTCACCGACGCCCTGCAACCTCCTACCATCCACATCCATCTCAGCGTCGACCTCTCTCCGAACCCGCGACAGCTCACACCCCACAGCATCTACACCCATCAGCGCTGGACCTTCTACAAGTACGATGTGGAGCTGCATATGAGCGAAGCAGGCACCGAACGCTGGACCTACGCCGTGACCTCTCATCTGGGCTGCACCAGGTACGAGTTTGTAGTCGCCGGTCGTTACGAGCTAGGTTGGCGATTCCTCGCCCATTCCAACAACGATTTCGCCGCCACGACATCGCAGAATGAGCGGGCGAAGCTGGGCGGCGTGGGCTTCATGTGGAAAGACGTGCTCCAGAAGAATATCGACTGCGGAGGCTTCCACGTGCAGCTGGGCCTGGGCAACCAGATCTACGGCGACAGGCTGTGGAAGGACGTGCCTCTACTGCGACAATGGCTCGCCATGAGCGGTAAGGAGAACCGCAAAAAGGCGCCATGGACGGCGCGGCATGAGGAGGATGCCACCCACGCGTATTTTCATTATTATACTAGTCATCTTGACCAGCCATATCTGCGTGAGGCGTTCGCTCAGATTCCCCACGTTTTGCAGCTCGATGACCACGACATGTATGTCTTTTCTTTTTTTCTTTCTTCTTTTTTCTCTCTCTCTCTCTTGTTCTCTTCTTA